TTAGTAATAACTAAAAACGTATTGTTGGTTAGGGTCGCAGTTGACTCAATAATTTGAACAAACTGTAGACAGATTTACTGTTCAATTACCACAGCTTTTTTTCTCTTCTTTTTTATTTTTTATTTTTAAACAAGCAAATGGGGTAATCAATTTTTGGTCTCAAATTTGATACGTAGTGAATAATAAGATTATTACTATAAAAATAAAATATAGAATTAACGCACAAGGCAAAAATAGTAACAAAATTGTTTTATTACTTTTAATATAAGAAATTGTTGGTTTGGTTAAGAATTTGAGTTTAAGGTTTAACGGTTATCAACTAAAATATTTTGACTACATTAATTATTTTGCATGTATTTTGAATCAATGGCAATGGCGAATTGGCGATACCAATTATCTTTCAAGCTTGATTCACAAAGAGGTTGATCTTCGAATACATATGCTTGTGCTGCCTCGTCGTTATCACCCCAAGGCCACCAACATGTTTTGTGTTGAACCCGGATCCCTTGGTCTTTTCCGATCAATCACCAGCCATCGAGAGTGCCTTGAGATTCCCACTCTCTTCTAGTTCTCACCCCTGAGTCTCAATCTCCCAATTATGTAATGAGTCTCACTTCACTATAGTACAGGTGTCCTAACTGCTGTCGAAGTTTTGAGGCCATGAGAAATTCGTTGTGAGCTGGTCATTCTATTGTTATACAGGTTTTCTAATTCTTATGGGGTTTACACTTCACCAAGTTTTATATATATTGAAATTTTTTCATTATTCAGGTATGTTTTTTTTATTCAGTTTATAACATTTTGCATATATGATCTCCGTCCGTTTTCGGACATAAGCATTAGGAAGGCTAAAAAAAACTCTCTAGCCTTTATGCAGGTAATTCAAAGGCCCTATCAGTGTCCATCCCTCGTGTTTTCCCAATCTGAGATCTAGTGAAATTGGTTCAAATAATTAACCAAAAATTGGAAAATGAAAAGGTGTGTAAAAGTGAAAAATGAAAAGATGTGACTACGAGTCAACTTCGACCAAATATTCAGACTTGATCCGATGGTCAAATTATTAAAGTAAATAGACCAACTTATTCTCCTCGTCGAGTAGATCGTCGTGGTATATTTGGAATCTTGAAACCAATTTCGGAAGAATGAGAAATTGCGGACCAAAGTTGGAAGAAATGAAGTGTTGCAACTTTTCGAAAGGATGCAGATTTTGGCCAAGTGTTACAACTTTTTGAAAGGATGCATATTTTGTTGAGAAAAATGTAAGGAAATCTGAAAACTTAATGAACTCCAAGATACGGAAAAACGTTATCTTTTAAGAGATGTTTTTCCCCTATTCAACAAAGTCACAACTAAGGTATGAAAGAAAATCTCTCTCAGGATACAATGGAGGCGTTTGATTCAAATTGTGACTATTTGATCAAACCAAGAAGACATTCGAAAAGAACTGATTGATGTCAAGAGAAAGAGAAAAGAATAATTTTTTTAATGTCTTTTGCAAACAAGAATTCGCCCAGAATTTATAGAAATTGAGGCAACCGTTTGAATAGGTGTGTCCCTTGAAATTCTTGCATACATCTGTTGGAAGTGACTGTTAAAAAACGAACAGATACACATATTCAAAGACTTTTGAAAATAAAATTCGCAAAACAAAAAATAAAACGAACATGTCGATCCCCGTGCGTAGCGACAAACACTAGTCCGGGCGACAAATCATTCGCAAAACAAAAAATAAATACATGCAAAATGATGAAAAATATCTAACATGTTTTGGCCCACACTACTTCATTTGCACCCTTTTTACATCTATAAATAAAATCCTATGGACATGATTTTGGGTACACCAATTGCATTAAGCATTCATTCTCCTTTTGCAATTCTTTCCTTTCTAATTCCATAGCATTTTCATGCATTTCCTTTGTAGAGGGAAAATTTTGTCAAAAATTCGTTTGTTTTTTGTGGTTTGAAGTGCTGCTACAACAAGTTGTGAATCCATTGTATCTTGGAAGACAAGTGTTGTTCACCGCGAGCACCATAGCGGGAAAATTTGTCTTAAGGAATTAGATAATGTCTCGCCTTGGATTATTCTCTATTTCTACTCCTTCTTAATCCTTGTTTTACATAATCGTTATACCGAAACTCTGTCCAAATTTTCATTCATATAAATTGTGTTTTGATCACGCTCTTACAGGTTAAAATTGGTCAAACAAATATATCAAAAATCAACCCTTACATAGCCCTTTTTATAAGTCGTCTCAAACAGTATCTCCAAGTACGATTTTTTAAAGCATCAATAATGTCGTAAGTAGAAACCACTACTAAAAGTAGTGGTCGACACATGATCAAGATGTCATGCTTCTGGGTTTGCAATCTAGGACTCCAACGATATCATGCTTACAAGACCTCCTACCAGTCACGGACCTCCATTGTTCGCAATCATCACGCAGAGGAAGACCTCCAATATATCTGCAAGTACAACACAACGAAAACCCTCTAGTAGTAGCGACACCTCAAGCAACATGTCGTAGCTCTGAATAAGTCTTGAGCGAATATGTCATGCCCCCGCCCCATATCCAACATATCTTATGTCACAACTGAAATACCCGATATTTCATCTACATGCCTTCCTATCATAGCACGATTATGAACATTTGTCAGACCATTATGACATAATACAGCATGTCCCATAATGTCGACGCATTATTATTGAGAGGGATCAAATATAGCAATTCCATATGTATAGAAGAGTGTTTCACATAAATGCACTAGAAATCTCACATTGCGGGGCCCATGTTTTAATAAAAAAAGCCAAAAAAATTACTCACCCACCCTAGTGTTGTCTCTTCTGTGGTGTTTCTGTGTGTACAGTTTATGTACACACAACACTGCTCGGATCAAATATGATACAAATGTGTGATGCAAACATGTGAGGCTTACTGGTGGTGTACTTAATCCCAACTTGAGCTTAAGTGCATTGGGCCTAGGGCTGGACACAGTCGATTTGGTTCAGTTCTAACGAGAATCAGATTGAATCCTAAATTCTTGGGTATTAGTAAGTAGAACTGTCGAGTCCAAATTTAATTATGGAACTGTTCTGGCTTAGTTCCATTCGGTTCGGTTCGGTTCCATTCGATTCCCAGGTTCTGTACTATAATTAATTTTTTAATATTTACAAAGTCACATTAATTCTACCATTGACAAGTTCAATCTTAACTCTCATAAAATAGCATAGTCTAATTTTATGTGTTTTCTACATCTCTCTTTACTTAGTTCTTCCTATATTTGATTGTTAAAATTATAGGAAGATGAAGATAGTGAGCTCACAACAATCAAGAGAAGTATTGTCGAACTTCAATTCGATGATTCACAATGGTAGAAACGGCACTACGGTAGAATAACATTTTTGGGTAAAACTTAGGTCAATTCGATTAAGTTAAACTTGGACTGAAAGTTAGAAATAGAAAAATCACATTTTTGGATTTGAGTTAAATTAACTACTTAGCAAATTTATTTAGAAAAAATAAAATAATTTAACTTATTTAAAATAAATAAATTAAAAAAATTAAGAAGATTTGGTTCTTGATCTAAAACTGAGAACTGAATTGAACTCTTCGGTTTTTTATTTAGATACTCACTCGGATATTTAATTTAAGAAGAATCTTTAGGTTCAGTTTAATTAAGTTCGGGTTTGATTCGATTCATTTTGATTTGGGAGTTTTGTCCAACCCTAATCGGACCACCGATTATACTATTTATATCATAAGCCCAACCTAGAGAGAGGTGGATCCTTAATCATGCATGCTTATGAGACCTCGCCTCTTTGACACCACGAGGCCACCATGAAGTTCCTTTTTGGGCCCTAGTTCCCTGGTCTTTATGGATCGATCACCTGGCATCGAGCCAATGCTTGTGGTCTCGATCCCTTTCAAGGTCTCACGGGGTAAATCAAGAAAAGAGTCCCACTTAATCATAGCAAGTGTTCTAACTGCAGTAAAGTCCTAATACGATCAAGAGTCTATCGTTTTCTTGTCATTCTATTGTTATTCAGATGTTCAAATTCTCATGGAATTACACTTACCAAGTTCTATATATATTGACACTTAATTCATTGTTTAGATACGCTTTCATAATTCAGTTTACATTTTCCTGCTTGTATTCTCTCTATATGTTATTTGAATTAAGCATCGAACGATCTATGTGAACAAATTTCGTTGACTTTTCGCAAGTAATTCTAAGGTCTTGTTCGTGCTCGTTTGTCATGTTTTTTCTAATCTTGAGATCAAGTATCTCCAATTACGACTTTTTGTATCATCAGGTAACAATTCAATTTCTCCCATGAAAATAATTATATATATTCATTGATATGGAGACGATTAGAATAGTCAAGGGTTAAATTATCGTTAAAAAGTTTTTTAAAAAAAATTCAATGTAGACGGATTTGTGTTACTCTTGTTTATAAGATTGACCTTCATCCTGAATCTTATTAAGAAATTTTGTAATTTAACTAAAGATAAAAGATATTAAGGTAAACCTTAATTTAAGTCTTGCCATTAATGGTTTATAACATATAATGTCAAACATGATTTTTTTTTTTTTTTTTGTGTAATTGCTCTAATAATTTGAATACTATATTCTTATAATTTGTAACGTAGACAATACTGAAAAAAAATTGGTTCAATATGTGTGGATTATAGTGTTGATTTGGTATTTCTTCCTGTTAAAAGTCTTTGTAATAATACGACATTATATTACAATAATATAACAATAATCAAGGATTACCGAGTGGACTAGACAACCATTAATTATATGTTAAAAAAAATTAAGCTATTTCCTATTATAATTAATTAAAAATAAAATAAGAAAGAGAAAAAGGATTATGTTTCACCTACACCCATTATTACGCTTACCAGAGTCTTGTGGTCAGCTTTCAAGGGGCCCTTTTAGTCAATGTAATATATTGAAACTTGTTTGACTATTTCTTATTCATATGGCCCCACCTTCTCCCTGGTGTGAAATTCCAAGCACCACCAATAGCCTGGTTCCAGTTGGACAATTAGACTAATAAACCTCCACTCTCAACTTATGTCGCGTGTCGCCACGTATCTTTGAATCCAATATATTTTCTAAGGAGTGAAGTTCACGCACCTGAGATTTAATCTACAAATAGACTCAAAGTAAGCAATTTTTGCCAAACCAAAGAAAGTCTGATGCAAAAATGAAAAACTTTCATTTCATTTATTTCTAACCGTAATTCTCCTTCAACTCTTCACCTCCTTTACCTCTCAGTCTGAGGAATGGAGAATTCTTCAAAACTCCAAGAAAACCAAAGCCCATCATCTCTTGTCCCATCCCCAAATACTCGTAGTTCCAACAGTTCTAGCAGTAGTGGCCTCCACCACCACAACCACCTATCACCTCCGGCGTCACAGCCGTCTCCATCACCTTGCGTACCCATAACCAGATCCGAACCAAACAGCCCACATCCAACAACTTTTGTCCAGGCGGACACATCCTCTTTCAAGCAAGTGGTTCAAATGCTCACAGGATCCACCGAGACGGTCCGCCACGCCTCCCGACCGGACCCGGCGAAGAACCCGATTCCTCCTATGAAGACTGGGATGAAGAAGGATAAGTCAACCTCCAAGCTGTACGAACGAAGAAACAGTCTCAAGGACTTTAAGATCAGCCCTCTTGGACCTGGACTGATGAACACGAGACCCAGATTCTTGTCTGGGTATTCGGGTTCTCCCCGAATGGGAACTGCAGAAGTTCTATCTCCCAGTATTCTTGATTTCCCATCTCTGGTGCTCAGTCCTGTTACACCTCTGATACCCGACCCGTTCAATCGGTCACCGAACGATGGAGCTAGCAATTTGAACACGGCAGCAGAGGAGAAGGCAATTAAAGAAAAGGGATTTTACTTGCACCCATCGCCGGCGAACACTCCGAGGGATACGGAGCCCCGGCTTTTACCTTTATTTCCGGTCACCTCACCGAGAGCAGCAGATTCTTCTAATGGTGCAGATTCTTGAGTGAGTTCCCCTTTCCCTTTCCCTTTTGTAGTTTTGCTTCAATTAATGTACCATTCTATATGTGAAACCACACAGACGGGATTTGGAATTGATGAGGCAACTATTTATGAACGCTCTAATTAAACTCAACAATTTGAAAAAAAAAAAAAAAAGAAGAGTCCATAATTTGATTTATCTCCTTTTTAACGTTGTTGGGTTTTCAATTTATTAGATCTGTAGGAAATTAAAAATATAATTTAAGGCTTATGATGTAAGAATTAAGATGAAAAAAGTGCGAATAATAATAATTAGGGAAAAGTGGGGTTGGAAATGGGCATAGCTGTCAACGGAAGAGTAAAAGTAAGGGCAAGGAATCTTGACTCTTTCTTTGTCTTTCGATAAGGGCCTGGCTCCGGGTTTACTGTCTGCTTGTATTTTAAGCAATTTATTTTATTTTAATTTCAAATGTTCAGGTCGCGACAATGAGTGACCCTGTTTGAGCCCCCTTGTTTGAAAATTTATTTTTATACACGTATTCTTTCAATAAAACAATATTACATAAACCGTTGTTTGCATCCATTTTTTTATCAAAATGTATTTTTGAACAGTGATTTGATAATATCAATAACAGATTCTTCAATAAAATAATATTATACTTAAATTCAAAAAATTTCTTTATTTTTCAATAGCACATTTTCAATCATAAAACTATTGCAAGATGCACTTTTTTGAAAAAAAAAAAAAGGACTAAAAAAATAATAATAATAAATAAATAAAAAGGAGCTCAAATAGAAGCAAAGCTTAAATATAGTTGCATAGTTGGGGATTTTAGTCCTCCGGAACAAAATTATGGTACATTAATGCCTCAACAGAACCCACTGTGGATATTGAACATTGGGACTACTTGGTCTCTGTCTCTGGTCACTTGGCTGGCTGACTCTTTCATTATACAACGGCTATATGTGAATCAATGCCATTTATACTAATCGAATGAATAACATTAATTTTGGTCACTATTCAAAAATTGAATAAGTTTGATTCGATTATCGATGTGTTTTAGGGCCCGTTTGGCATTAATTTTGTTTATGTTTTTGCTTTTGCTCCTTATGAAAGAGCTTTTGGAAAAAATTACCTTAATTTTTATTCGAAAATTAAATTTTAAAAAGCTTTTCATTTCCAAAATGCTTTTAGAAGAAATCAAATTAGACAAGTATTCTCCGAAAATTCTTCTAATTAAAAGAAGCACTTTTATAAAATTAGTTTAATGGGTCAAAAAGCAACTTTTAAGTCTTAAAAGCTTCTTTTGACTTAGGAACGGACACATTAAGTGCTCAGTTTGTGCAATTGGTCCTTAGTATTTGACATTTACAAAGTAGTCAAATAATTTTTTAGTCTGTAATTTTAAGTTTTTAACCCATAAATTTTACATAATCCTGTCTCGCTCCCACTAAATATTGTTGTTGGGTTCGACTATGTTTTGACTTTTTAAAAGTCATGCCGAATCGGTTCTTATTGTG